AGGAAAAGTTGGTTTTGAGAGTACTTTTCATAGGCATATAGAATGAAATCTTCTGAAAAATAATATCACATAAACTCATATTATTTTCTAATATATAACTATTTTATATAAAAATCAAATTCAATGATCTTAAAAGCGAAGGATAAACCTCAAAATTTACGAATATAATGAGTGGGAATAGGCGTAAAGCAAAAATTGATATTTCATATGGTTTTATGATAGATAAGCATTATATTCCCACTCATTATATTCGTAAATTTTGAGGTTTATCCTTCGCTTTTAAGATCATTGAATTTGATTTTTATATAAAATAGTTATATATTAGAAAATAATATGAGTTTATGTGATATTATTTTTCAGAAGATTTTAGTAGTATATGAGTGCGGGTTGTGTGACTTTTTTTGTATCATCTATATATAGACGATGCATTAAAATATATTTATTTATAAATCATTAAAGAATTAACATTAATTTTAAAATAATTTATTTTTTTATCTTTTATAAAAGAAGCTATATATAGATGATGTCAGATATTCCGCGATTAATTAAACATTGTTTAAATCCTGAATGGGTTAAACTTCAATTTAAAAATGAAGATTGTGAATTATTAAATGAATATGAAAGCCAAAATAAGCTAATGAGGTATAAATATAATGATAAAGAATATTTAATTTCATGGAATCAATGGAGTCATAATCAAAGACCTCATAAACGAGAAGAAGAAATGGAAAATAATGAAATGGAAATCATTGATGACATTAAAGAGGATGGAATTCCTAAATTTTGTAGAAAAACCTTTAGAACTAAGTTAGGAGCATATAAACGTAGAGTATTAAATCCTGAATATCTTAAACATTTATTTAAAAAGGAAGACTGCGAATTATTAAACGTTAATGAATATGAAAATGCAAAATCAAAACTGAGATATAAATATATTGGAAGTGATGAAAGGTGTAAAGATAAAGATAAAGTTTATACAGTTTCATATAATAACTGGCACACGTTAGGGATAAGAAAACATTTAGGAGATTATGGTAAAAGTTCTGAATTCTTCAAATCTAGTATGTATGAGAGAGTAAAAGAAATCAGATATAATTATCATTCATGAATGAAAAATAAACTTTAAAAATTCATGTCTTACATTTTTTGAATAATTTATTTTTTTAATTCGTATGAAAATGAGTGTCAAGACTAACGACGTTAAAAAATTGGGATTCACAAACGAGGAAATAAAGGATATATTAGAGGAGGCGAGTTATGAAGTTAATAAATATTATTTAAGAAATTGTCAAAAATTCGCGGAGTTATTAAATGATTTAGATTATGATGGAAAAATGAATAAAGATGATGTTATAAATTTCTTATATCCCACATCTGAAGAAGAAAAACCTAAAGAACCTGATGTTTTCCCTGAATATTATGAAGAACGGATTAAAGATGATGAATATGATGAAATTGAAAGACTGGAAAAAATAAGAGATGAAATAGATGAAAAAATTAAGGAATTAAGAGAAGTTGAAAAATATAATGAGAATGAAGTAGAGGGTTTAATGAATATCCCAGCTTCAGAATCAGAAGTTCAAAAATCTCATGAAGAAAGATATAAAAATTACTTTTTGGAATCTACTAAAAATTTATTAGATGGTGAAATAGATGAAACACTTTCAGAAGAAGGCACAAAATTTATTCATAAACATAAGTTACAATTTATTGACGATGGAGATTATCCATGTATATTACTTTCACCTCCTCTTGATTCTGAAAAATTCAAAAAAGCACTGAAAAATGTAACATATGCAACAAATACGATTAAGAAAGAAGACCATGATATTTACACAAATTATTATTTAAATAAATGTACAGGTGTTGATAAAGTTTTTGATTTGTTAGATAAAATATCAAAAGAAACAATTGGTACATATAAAATTTTATGCGATTGTGGTTTCATTATTGAAGATACTAATAATGTTTCATATGAAAGAACAGCACCGAAGGAAGACGAAGTTGAAAGGTCTATACCATTCGTTATTAAGAATATAAAAGATATGAAAACTTATAAACATTATATTTATTCATTTATTTCAGAAAAAATGGAAGCAACCCATAAAACATCATCTCATCATTTTATAGCTATTCATACATTCCTTTTCAAAGTTGTGAAATTAAATAAGACAGGAATTAGATTTAATGTATCAGGGTACGCATTCTTGAGTAAATTAAAATGTATTCGTCACGTCGCAGATGATAAAAATTTATGTGTTCTTAATTCATTTTATGGACTTTAGCCCTGGACTTTAAAAAAATAAACTTTATTTTTATTTATTTTTTAATTTTTTATTCTTACATAAATGAACAAAAACGGAACAGCTAAAATGAATGATAATCAAATAAGAGCCGAAGGTAGAAGGTTATTTAAACGCTTCTATAACATTCCTGATGGTGTTAATCCTAAAACTCGTAGAAGTTATTTAAATGAAGCCATAGATGCATATGAAGGATTTGACATTTCATCAGAAAGTGAGAGGTTAGCAAGAATGTTAAACGTTAATATTGATTTTTATTATTGTGACCCTCAACCAGAAGACGTAGACATAAATAAGGTAGACTTTCCATTAGTGGAATCAATAATGATAGATCCAGAATTTGAAACAGTAAATATTTTATTAACACAGAGTCCATGTGGAAAACTTCACGCTGACAGAATTACAGACGTTGAAGCACTCACAGGATATAAAGTTTGCCCCTTTTGCAAAGAAGAAGTATATTCTATCCGTGATGACCCAGAAAGGAAAAACCAAAGAAGATTTTTAAAACATTGTGAGAAATGTAAAGAAAATAATGGAAGATTAATTCAAGACGTTCAATTGCAAAACACACAACAACCATATGCACCACATATCACGAAACAGAAGATATATCAATGGCTATTAGCTCACAATTTGCAGGAATATTATAAACCAACAAGATATTATATTACTTTTGACTTCGAAACATTAGAGACTAAAGAAGAACTTCAACTTTCTGAATGTGCAACTTTGAACGCTTACTTAAAACCATTTATGGTATCATCAACTGTCAAAATAAAGCCGCAAACGGACTCTTTGAGTCCTGAAGGTCTTTCAGACCGAAGCGGCGAGGTCGTAGACCGTGATAAAACATTTACGAGGAATTTTTGCTTAACATCAAGTGATTCTTTCATCTCTGATTGGATTGAATTTTTATTTTCAACCTGTTCATTAGTTGCTAAATCAAATATTGAACAATATGAAGAATTAATGAAGCCGCAAACGGACCAAACGGCGGGGACTTTGTCCCATACATTAAATGAAAAACAGAAGGAAGCATTTAAAGAACTTCTAGATGAGGAATTCAATAAAGTGAATATCATAGGTTTTAATTCGGGAAAGTTTGATTTAAATTTAATTCTTCGTGATTTAAACACTGCAAAATGGAAAATAAAATCAATGCTGGGTTCTTCTTCTCAATTTAAGCAAATCATTGTAAAGAAAACAAACTGTCCATATGAATTAAGATTTATTGACATCAGAAATTATATAGCGGGTGGAACATTAGACCAATTCACTCAAGATTTCGGAAACAATAAATCACGTGTTAAATCCTTTTTCCCTTATCAATTCATCACATGGGAGAATTACGAAGATGAATTATATAAAGAGGAACCATTCACAAGATTCATTTTATTCAGCATTAACTCAAGAAACAATATCCGATTCAGATTATCAAATATATCTCAATGATGCTAAAAATTTTGAGAATAGATTAGAATATTTTATTCATTATTGCAATAAAGACGTTGAAATTATGATTGACCCAATTGATAAAATTATTGAAGAAACATTTGTTTATAAAATTGACATGCTTCATAATCTTTCTTTATCATCGAATGCATCAATGATTCGTTACGCTTTAGCATATAAGAACTTTAATCCTAACGAAACATATCCAGAAGAAGAAAATGTGGAATCAAGTTTTGAATTAACAAAAAAGTATTGGAAATATAAAATTGATTCATATAAGAAACAAGATGAAAAAGCAGAAAGGGATACTAAAAACAATGTTTCAATGGATGACTATCAATACTATCACGATTTAATCCTTTCATCTAAATGCAAAATGTGTGGTAAAGCGTTTACATATGCTAATAAACCAACATTAGATAGAATCGATAATGAAAAACCACATACCAAAGAAAATTGTCAGTTAATGTGTTGTTATTGCAATGTCGTAAAATCAAATAAAGATGAAGATGTTCAACGTTTAAGAATCAATTTAAGAAATTATACATTAAAAAATAATTTACCAATGACTCTAGATTCAGTTGAAGCTTATCACATCCTCCGTAATGGAATTACTGGTGGTTATCAAATGTTCAACATAGAGTAAATCTTAAAGGAATCACGCACATTAATAAACTTTCATATAATCCAGAAACTAAAACTGTATCAAATGAGGACACTTCCAACATTATGACTCATTTCGTTGGTGTTGACTTTAATTCATTATATCCTTCATCATTTTCATCTAATCCTCATGATTTCATTCAATATACTGACCATAAAATGTATATGCCGGGAAGATTGAATGGTGTTATCATTTTGATGAGCAACAAAGAAAGCAAAAGCACTGGGAATATTAAGAAGAAAAATACTTTATTCGTGGCTGAAGTAAAGGGTCACATTGATGAAAAATACATTAATGATTACATAAACTTTTTACCGATAATAAGAAACTTAGATATTATCACAGATGAAAAAACAATTGGTCAGTTTTATGTATAATTACATGAAATCAAACAATCTACCAGTTGACCAGAAACAGAGAAATTAACTCAGTTAGCATCAACACACAACCAATATCAACCATTTTCTTCTTATTATCTTTGGTATCTAATAGACAGATTTCATTTTATCATTGATGACATTCAATCAATTTTAACATTTACTAAAAACACTTGTTTTAATGAATTTGCGAACGAATTTATGAATGAAAGACAAAAGGCTGAATTAGAAGGAAATAAAGGAAAAAGTTTATTTTGCAAGATTTCACTTAATGGATCATATGGTTACGATGCAATGAATACACAAAATTACGCAAAGACTAAAATAATGAATGCACAGAAGGCACGCGTTGCATGTATGTCAAATAAGTTTAAAAACATAAGAGAAATAGGAGAGGATACGTATCAAGTGATGCTTAAAGATAGATTTTATAGATGTGATACATGTTTACAAGAGGCATTCTTCACTTTAGATAACGCAAAATACTGGTATTTGGTTTTCATTTATGATTTTATGTATAAATGCATGGATGTTAATCGTTTTCATTTCATTGAAGGTGATACTGATTCATCTTATTGGGCAATCGCTGGCGACCCAAATCTTCCTAACACTCAAGCATTTCAAGCAATTGTAACCGATAAAAAATTTTATGATAAAAACATTTACAAATTCGCACCTTTTGATTTCTTCTGTTTTAATGAGAAATTTAAACCTAAATTAAAGAATAAAGCTGAAGAAAAAGCACATGAGAAGAAGTTATTGGGTTTAGCAATTGAGAAACAAGGTGATAACATGGTTGCTTTATGTCCTAAGTGTTATACTTCATTCAACGGTTCAATTGATGGAAGTGATTTTAAAAAGATTGCACAAAAAATGAAAGGAGTTAGTTTACGACAAAATAAACAATTAACACCTAAAAATTATTTGGATATAATAAATGATAAAGTGATATTTGATGGTCAGAATATTAATTTACAACTTAAAAACGGGTCAATGACTCGCTTAACAATCGGTAAGACTGCATTAACAGGAGCACACACTAAGGCTGTATGTTGTGAAAATGGATGTTGTATGCCATTTATTTAATAAAATGCCACAGAAGAGACAAAAGGAACCGTAAATAATGGTTTTGATACTATGATTCAAAGAGGTGGGCACCCTTAAAACACTTATTTTATTTTTATATAAATGGATAACACAGATTTAAAAAATTTAATTGATGATTTAGTACTTAATCAAAATTTTCTTAATTATTATGAATTAAAATCATATCTCCAAAAACATGATAACAATATAACGGGTGATGATATGGATTATTATTATTCGTATTATAAAAATGAAGTTTTGAAATATCATGATAAAATAATTTCTAAAATTAAAGACAAAATTAAAAATAATGAATATTCAAAGGGAAAAAGTAAATCACAACTTAAACAATTGAAAGATTTCAAAAATAAAGTATTAACAGAAGAAGATATTGATGAATTATATAAATTATATAAATTATATAATCCTGAGCCGCAAAAACCAAAGGAACAAAAACAAAAGGAACAAAAACCAAAGAAACAAAAACAAAAGGAACAAAAACAAAAGGAACAAAAACAAAAGGAACAAAAACCAAAGGAACAAAAACCAAAGGAACAAAACGCCCAGGTCCTTCAGACCATAAATGAAGCACAAGCTTTAATTTATGATTCATTAGTTAAACCATATTCAGCCCGACTTTTAAATGAAGATCAACTTTTGGAATTCATCCTTCAACATAAACTCGAAGCGGGAAAGTATATCAAACCTTTATATACAGCATATTTAAAACAAATGAATAGAATACATCCAGAATTAATGAAGGGGGAATGAAATCCAAAATCAAAGCAGATAAAATTAAACCACTGCAACACCAAACCCTCCAACGACAGTACCTCCTCCTCCTTCAGTTAATCCTTCATCATTCACTTTATTATATCCATTTCAAACATTAAAGAAGCAAAAAGATTTTAAAAAGGATTTCAAAATATTAAATAAACCATTTGACCCAAAAATTCAACCGTTAAAAGAAAAATTTAGTCGCCCTTCATTTGCACCATATCCATATTCATACGAAATCGATCATTTAGAATATTCAAGAGGAAACGTTACTTATTTATTTGCCATTAACATTAACACCAGATATTATATTGCATTCCGGTGAAAGGGAAAACAGAACAGGAAACAAGAAGAGCTATTCAATACTTACTAGATCATGAAAGAGTAGATAATTATAAGGGGTGATGGTGATAAAGGATTTCAGGCAGCTATGGCTCATTATTTCCCACAAATTAATTTTTACTTTTCATCCTCTCCATATACGTTTCATAATAAAATAGTTTGATGCGGTAATGAGAACTCTTAGAGATGCGTTAGGGGTTAATGGTCAGATATACTGGGATGGAAATCATGACTCCATCATACAACAGTTAGTATATTATTACAATAATACATGCATAGAACAATAAACATGAAACCGGTGGAAATGAAAAATGATATTTCAAAAGAATGGGAATATATTAGAAAGCAAATGGAAAGGTTGAATGATGTTAAACGTGAACAAATTAATTCGGGGCTCATGAATTTTAAACAAGGGGATAAAGTTTTGATTCATCTCGATTATGGAAAAACTGATAAATCAATGACAAAAAGAAGACGAAGATTTGACACAATAGCTGAATTTGTTAGATATATTAACGGCAATGCATTAGTTGAAGTTGACAATAAATTAATAGAAATTCCGATTTATTTTATTACTCCATTATATTTAAATAATATTTAATTTTTTTATTTCGTAAAATGAGTAACAACGAAGCAGTCAAGAGTCCAGACGATGAATATAAAAAGAAACTAAACAGAATTAAATCAAAAAATATGCTATTACAAAAAGAAGCCACAATGTGGTGGGGTTGAAAACGATAAAGAGAGGAAAGAAATAATCGAAAAATTAGAAACTTATCGTTCAATCCTTAAACTGAGTGAAGCAAAAATAAAAGAATTTAATAGAATAAATAAATTGATTGGAAGAGATGAATTTAATAAAGATGAATTTTTAAACTCAATCCAAATTTAATTTTTATTCCTCTTCGACAACATCTCTCTTTCCATCATTACCGCATAACCACATTTTCTCAATTTTAGTGGTTTGTTATTTTTAGCAAGTTCTCGCATCATTTTTATCGTTTCCTCCCTTGTTATGATTCGTGGTAAATTTTGAGCTTGTGGGGTATTCATTTATGATAAAAATAAAAATTTGTTATCACTTATTTTATCGTTAAGTGACTCAAAGAGTCCGGAGACAAAGTCTCATGTTTTTAGGTTATTCAAAAATAATTAATTATTGAATAACCGAAGGTGCTACCATGTTACCATGTGCTACCAGGTCATTTAACTTCTATGAAAAAGTGTGACAACATGACATTTTGACAACAACACAGGAAAATATGATGCAGTCCAAAAATAAAGTTAGTTTTAAAATTGTTTTTATTTTTTATTCCTATATAAATGACAGCAACAAACAACAGCAACAACTATATCGTTTCTGATGAAAAAGTTATTGATTCATTAGCTGAGGAATTAGTTGTGGCAGAAACTAAAACCCTCAACGAAAGAATTGGTGAAAACAAGATTGATTTACATAACTACCTCAAACATGATGGAGGAAGAGGAAGGAAAACTGGTATGGCTTTATTAGTAAATAAAATTTCAAATTTAACGATTATAGATGTTGATATCAATAAATCGTACAATGATGAACTTAAAGAAACAGTTAGAAAAGACATTTTATCAAAACTTTCGGATAAAGATGTTATCGTTAAAACCGCTTCAGGAGGTCTTCACATTTATTGCAACACTAATTTCTTCTATTCAACCTCGAACAGAATGATTAAATGTTATTCCTGCAATGATTATGATATTGATATAATGACTTCTATGGATGATTCAAAGCGTTCTTTAGTAGTTATGGCTGATTCAAGAGTTCGCAAGAATGCAACAGAACCAATCAATACATACTCATTCATTCGTGGAAGTTATGATTCAACATTAACCAGAACAGTGAATGATATATTAAATGATTTGAATATTAAGGTAAGAGTTGAACAGAAGAATGAAGAAATAAAGAGTATAATGAATGAAAACAAAGATGTAAACATTGACGATAAACTAGCTCAAGCATAGTTGATGGCATCTGTGATTTTGAAGTACATAATGACGGTGGAAACATGAATTTAGAAAAAGAAGTACATTATTCACACTGTTTCAAGCTATTAATTCGTTACCTAATCATTTAATTAATGAAGCATACGATAACGTTTATAACTTCTGCAATTTAACTGAAAATGCAAAAAGTAATTTTGAAAAAGCACGTAATAGATATGCACATTTAATGACTTCTCCATTTGTTTTGGTGAAGATTCTAAAACTATATCAAAAGGAATATTATGATGAATATGTTTTACCTTTATTACGTAAGCCAAAAATAACATTTGATATCAAACTTGATGACTCGTTTTTGATAACAGATATTAGACGCAAGGCTGAAAATCATCAGTATAAAAACAGTTCTGAAGTAATTGAGGATTTATCACGTGTAATCCGTTTTGTAGATTGTGGAAATAAATATTTCATTCAGAAAGATTACAACATACACGACAAAATGAATCAAATATCATTTGTTCTTCAATCAAACATGAAAGAGTCACTCAAAATGATTAAATTATTTAAAGAAGAAGGTAAAACAATAACAGCATGGGATGTACTACTAAATCAATTATCCTCATTAACCGTTAAGGGTGTTTGCTTTAAATCTGATTCCCCAGATGTTTTCTCAACGTTTCATGGTTATAAATACAACATTCTTGAAAAGCCTGATTACTCAAAAATTGAGATGTTTATGAATTTCATTAAAGAAGCCATTTGTGATAATAACGATGAAGTGTATAAATACCTACTCGGCTGGATTGCATCAATGATTCAACATCCTGGAATCAAGAATGAAACAGCAATTATTTTGAAAGGACTTCAGGGAACAGGTAAAAACAGATTCACAGACATTATTTCTGAACTTCTCGCTGGTTATTCATGTAAAAACATTACCGAAATAAGTGAGCTAACGGGTAATTTCAATTCGTTGTTGAAAATAAAATGTTTCTTGTACTTAATGAACTCAAGAATGTGGTGAAGACAGACTCGCAAACTTCAACGCTTTGAAATCAATTATTACGGATAATCAATTAGAATTAATGAAAAGAATCAACCCAGAAGAACTGCACAGAATGTTGCAAACTTCATTTTCGTAACTAATAACGTCTACCCTGTCAAAATTGAAGTTGGAGACAGAAGATACGTAGTTTTAAGAGTTAATGGTAAATTCAAGGGTCAATTTGATTACTTCAAGAATTTGATGATTCATGCACAAAGGAATTTTATGATAATTTACTGACGTATTTTATCAATTACGACCTTTCATCATTTAATGTACGAATCATACCGATGACTGAAGCCAAACAAGATTTAATTGAATTATCATCAAATCCTTTAGATGTATGGATAAATACACATTATGATGAATTGTGTGCAGGTATGACGTGTGAAAATGCTCTATTCTGCAAACCATCAGACATGAAAGACAAAAACTTTCAAATGAGTATTAAGGATAAATGTGATAGGAAACATAGAAGAATAGACGGTAAACAAACATGGTATTATGTTTTGAAAGAAGAAATGAAAGGATTATATAAACAGGTTGAACCAAACGATAATGAGGAATCATTTACTGACGATGAAATACCTGTAAATGAGCCGCTAACGGACTCTTTGAGTCCTGAAGGTCTTTCAGACCGAAGCGGCGAGACCTGAAGGTCTAGCTTTATAAAGTATGATTGGAATTTATTTTTGCATTAATCCTGCTGTGTTGTCAAAATGTCATGTTGTCACACTTTTTCATAGAAGTTAAATGACCTGGTAGCACATGGTAACATGGTAGCACCTTCGGTTATTCAATAATTAATTATTTTTGAATAACTGGGAAATAAATTTACGTCAAATATGCAATTTATAAA